TTCAGTAGTACGCGCCCATACTACCTTCCACATCTCTCCGTACTTTCCTCAAGAACTGCCTTGATTCCACCAAGTCCCTTCTACTGCTACTGCTCTCTGCTACTCTCATCCTAGGCTTGCCCTAGGGAAATCTCTGACTCAACCAAAACCAGTCCTCAGCTGCTGAAAGCCTCATTGTAATGCCAATTAGCTACCACATGGATACCATCACATGCAACGAGGCTCGAATAATCCTTCGAGTAGGGGACTCATCCCTACAACGGTTAGGACTCAGACAAGAGCTACACAATAGGGTCAAATCCAACACTCTGAGATTATTCAACCCTGATTGCATGTGACTTAACGTATTCACCTAATAGCTAACTCCCATCACTCCGAGTCCTTCTAAGCACAAAGCAAGCAGCATTCAGATAAAAGGAAACTAACTCAAGCAGATCCTATCCTCTTAACAAGAATCTGTACTAGCATACAATTCTAAGCTCATACTATCAGGCATAACCTAATCAGGCTATCCTACTACTGTCTACTCGATACTAGCATGCAAATCTCATTAAGCTGAAACACATATAGCAGGCACATAAGGCATCCTTCCTAGATCCTTAGTCCTAATCTAGCATGCTATTCTACTGAAACTGATAATCATAACATAAACTTGTATGGGTAATTTGGGAGTACTTACTTGAGCTCGGCTGATTGCATGCACCACACCCTTTTTCTCTTTTCAAAGTTCTTTTCTTTTTAAGTTTCTTTTTCAAAAATTCTTTTCGAAAATGTTTTTCTTTTGAAAACCTTTTACCATTTCCTTAGTTTGAGTTTAGACACACCCGGAAGTGTGTCCGAATCCCTCAAACCAAGGCTCTGATACCAACTTGAAACATCCCAAAAATACAAGTCAAAAATTTCATTTAAAAACATTGCTAAAACCATAATATCCAAATATTATAAATAAAAGAAGTGTCGTGCGTCTCAAATCCCATAATAAAAGCTGTCTCAAAACTAAATAATAATAATAAAAACATCAGAGTAACTCCCAGGCTAAAAGGAAACTGTGGTGTGTGCCATGCCATCATCCCGAGCCCTTCCCCTTGCTAGCTGAAGTACCTAAAACCAACTGAAACTGTAAGCACGAAGCTTAGTGCGCTCCCCCAAACTACCACATACCATACAATAACATAATAAGCACACACTGGGCCTTGACCATTGCATCGGACCTAAGTCCGGAACTAACTAGGGCCTTGCCCTCTGCATCGGACCAAGTCCGGAACTGCATCGGACCGAAGTTCGGAACTAACCAGGGCCTTGCCCTCTGCATCGGACCAAGTTTGGAACTGCATCGGACCGAAGTCCGGAACTAACCAGGGCCTTGCTCTCTGCGTCGGACCGAAGTCCGGAACTGACTGTACATAGCATAGCATAAGCATAACATATATCATGAACACATATACTGCATACTACATCGGACCGTAGTCCGGAACACATAACTCATAATCCTGCTTGAGTCACGAAGACATCAAACATACTAACTACTACATCGGACCGAAGCCCGGAACTACTGCTAACTAAACGGGCTGGCATTGTGGCCTTAGACCCGTTCCTACTGGAAGGAAACTCACCTCGTAAGGCTGACTGCTGAAATGCTGATCGGAAACTGTCTGACTGCTGTTGCGGTAGCTCCCCGACTACAATTCCCATAAAGACACTTAATCAAACACTGATAACTAATCTTAGGCTAAAATGACTATTTTACCCTCTGGTCAAAGTCAGCGTTCTGGTCAAAGTCAACTTCCAGTTGACCTGACTCGCCGAGTTGGGCCGACAACTCGTCGAGTCCCTATCCTTCCTTCTATTCCCCCACCCGACTCTACTCGCCGAGTTGTATGAACAACTCTTCGAGTTCCCCTTCAACAGAAGAACACGCCCAGTCTATGACTCGCCAAGTTGTATGGGCAACTCGTCGAGTCCGTCTGCTTCCAGATCCAAGTCTTAACTCATTGAGTCCTTACTCTACTCACTACACAGACTCACTTCTACTGAACCGGGAATCTAAGACTCGCGACCCGACTCGCCGAGTCATAAGAACGACTCGCCGAGTCCTTTGCATGCAGATTCCATTCAGTCGATTCTAATCAACTTTAGTACATCCAATTCGTAGATCTGAGTTTCTGGGACTATCTGAACACGTAAAGTTGCTAACTTTACGTGTATCTAAGATGCAATGAAGCAATAACCCTCAAACTTTGCTATTATAGGGGTTACTTGACTAAAACAAGGCCATGGCTGCCAAAAGGTGGCCTTTTTGAGCTTCTGGAGCTCAAGAGAGGCTAGATCTGAGATATGACTCAATCACAAAGCTTCATCACTAGGGATTTGGGGGTTTTGAGCTCAAAACCAACAATTTGGGGACAAACTAGATCTATTAGCACAATAATCAAAATGAAAGCTTTATTACGAGAAGGGATGGCCAAAGAGGAGTATAATCTGGATCTACTTCTTCTTCCTTGAGTTTTTCTACCTTCTCCTTCTTCTCCTTGCACCAAAATTTCCTTCACAAGGCAAAGATCACTCACACACACTTCAAGGAGGCTATGGTTTCGTGAATAAGTCTCTGAGAGGTGAAGGAGGCTGGTTTGGGGCTATAATGACGTTTAAATAGGGTGCAAACCCTTGGAATTAGGGTTTCATCCAGACTGGCAGACTCGCCGAGTCCAACAATATAGACTCGTCGAGTCGCCGGCTAAACTTGCGTGCAAAAACCCGTCTCTACTCGACGAGTCGAGCTTCTGACTCGTCGAGTACTGCTTAAGAAAAGGGAAAATGCTTTATTTAGATTACATACCAGAAATGGGGCGTTACAGCTGGACTCGACGAGTCGGTGCTGGGAAGAGAAAACCCTAAATTTTAGGGTTTGCACCCTATTTAAAGGACCTTAAGTCCTCACCTCAGCCTCTTTGTTACCCCTTGAGAGTCAGGAAACCTTAATCTCGTGTGTGAACCTTTGGAGTGAGTTTTGAAGCTTTGGAAGGTGATTCTAGCAAAGGAAGGTTGTAGATCAAGAGGCTAGCGTCAAGGAATTCGTGTAGATCCAGAATCTACTTCAGCTTGGGCACATTTTGGAGGTAACAAGTCGTTACCTTGATCTCTTCCCTTCTAGATCTATTCTTGGTTGGATTTTGGGGCTATTTAGCATGTTTAGGATCCATTTCGGGTTTTGGATGTAGATTTGAGGTTGCAACTTCAGATCTAGGCTTATCTTAGTCCATAAAGAAGTAAAGTTTCAGCCCTTGGCATGTTTGTGAGCATTCCTTGCCTTGAACCTTCTCTCTAGTTTGATTTGAGACAATACCACCTTGCATGCACGTAAAGTTGGAAACTTTACGTGTGAAACTAGCCTTAGGGGTCCAGATATGCAAGCTGGAAGCAATGGAATGGACTGAAATCGTCTGAATAAGGATGACTTATGTGGACTCGGCGAGTATGTTCTTGGACTCGACGAGTCGGGTCGCAAACCCCTAACCCATCTGGTTATGATGCGGGTCAGTGAGTTGAGTGGTGACCCAGTGAGTTAGACAGGCCAGGACTCGGAGATTGATGAACTCGACGAGTCATGGGGTGACTCGGCGAGTCGAGTCGTGATATGAGAGTCTTCTGAGATTAAGAACTCGGCGAGTCAGTAGGGTGACTCGGCGAGTAGGGTCAATCAGGAAGGCTGACTTTGACCAAGAGTTGACCAGTTTGACTTTCAAGGGTATTCTGGTAATTTGGGCACTTATAGATATGGTCTCATCAAGTGTAGGTGGTGAAGTTCGTGACTGGGATCGGAGGATTTGATCTTATCTCTTCAGTTCGGCATTGCAAGGTGAGTTATCCTCACTATACCCAAGGGTCTAAGGCACCAAGGCCGGCCCTTTGATTTGTTCTTTGAGATAGTTACTATTGTGATATGTTATATCGGTATCTTGGAAGATAGTATGGTTATGTGATGGTATGCTCTGTTAGATCGGTATCCCGGTAGATAGGATATGCTTAGAGACCTGTAGTTGGTCTTACTGTCTGTATGCTGGTAGGAGATTACCTGTTATATGTGCACATGTTTGAGTAGTAGTGGAGGGTATCCCATCTCGAGGATGATAGGGCCCTAGTATGATGTCTCTATAGAATGTTATATGTTTATCTGATAGGTGCACATGTTTGTTAGTATGTGGGCATTCCAACCCGATGGTTGTGGGCTAGGAGTATTCCATCCCGGTAGGATGATTGGACTCATAATAGGGGGCATTCCAACCCGATGGTTGTGGGCCAGGAGTATTCCATCCCGGTAGGATGATTGGACTCATAGTAGGTTGGCATACCAACCCGCTGGTTGAGGGCCTGGGGTATTCCATCCCGAGGGATGATTGGACCCATAGTTGTATGTATGTGTAGGTGTATGGGCATTCCAACCCGATGGTTATGGGCCGAGAGCATTCCATCCTGAGGATGAGTGGGCTCGTAGTATGTTGGCATTCCAACCTGATGGTTGAGGGCCAGGGGTATTCCAACTTGATGGTTGACTGGACCCATAGTATGTTGATCTTTGTTGTATGTGTATGGTTATGTGTGTATGGGTATTTTGGGGGGAACTCACTAAGCTTTCGGGATTACAGTTTCAGTTTATTGTTTCAGGTACATCAGGAGATCGTGGCAAGACAAAGGCGTGATCGTACCGCTCCTCATATTTCATGATTTTGCGATTTGGTTCTGGGGATACTCTGATGTTTAAACTATTTTGAAAACAAATTGTAATAACTTATCGGTTTAAAATGTTTTAAGAAGTTTTAAATTGGCGTAAATTTTTTGAGTGTTACAGAATTCAACTCAGATGGAATAATTGCAAATAGGAGTAAGTGTTACTTAACAACTATCCACAACTAATTTATAAATAAATCATGCAAGTCAAATGTATGCGGAAATATTACTTCAGCAAGCATATATTTTTAGTTGAAAACAACATCGTAGACTAAAGGGCATAACTGGTGTTTTACTTATTTATAAGAAATCAAGATTTCATGTACTTAAACAAACAGAGCTCAACATTACAAGTTGAAAAAGACACTAAAGAAGCGATAACAATCCAATACAGAAGCTATAAAGAATCCTAGAAGGCTAGCAAAACCCTTTTTTCCTACAAAAGCCAGAAAAAAGGATTAATACCACAATCATTGAATTCTTATAAAAAAAATTCAAACTACACTTTTAAACAGGATTTAAAAAGGACTTACTGTTCTTTTTTCTGTTGGAGGAGCATTTGCAAATATAGAAGCCAAGGAACCAACTAGAATGTGTTGTGTTATTCCAGCCTCATGCAGCTACATGTGGGTAAATGTACATTCAGCCATGTGTAACCTCCACCTGATCACATTTATCACAAAACAAAATCAAAATAATGACATACCATTATATGAAAAAACATAATCAAATCCCCTACTTCTTTATTTCCCAGACAAAAAACAAAGATAAAAATTAAAAATAGACTACATGTGTGCTTAATACTAACGATATACCTTACAAGCAAGCTCTTATTTAGAGCCTTCACAGCTCCTTGCTCTTGATAGATATAGAAAAAACCTAAAATTTTAAAAAATACAGAGAATATCTTACATTCAATTTGTAAGAAACCATAAGATTATTTATGCAAAATCATCGTCTACCAGATGCCAAAAGTCAACTGAAAATAGAAAATAACAAATACTTATCTACTATAATAAATGAAAATCTTTTTGCCACATGTCACACTCTCATTGATTTGGCCACATGTCATTTTGTGGTTATTTTCAATTAAATTGTTTCCACATGGCATTTTCTGGTTTTTTTTTATTTTATCAAACTCCACATAATATTTAAATGTAATAATTACAATAATATAATAATAAATGCATATCAATTTCATTAATTGACTTTCCTTTTAATTTTAAAATCTGCAAATTAAAACCTCATTAGTTTCCTTTATTTATTTATCTAAATTATTTGTTTAAATTTAAAAAAGAAAAAACACATTAATTATAATAATTCAATATTTTTCTAATTTTCTATTAAATTCAAACTTTTAAATGTTTAGAATTTCATATTTAATTTTTTCTTTTAAATGAACCCATGTAATACATGAGTTTTACACCTAGTACTTTATCAAAACAATGATATGTAAACAAAATAAATTAGATCAAAACAAACAAATTTTGATTTTAGTAAAAGGCTATCCACGTATGAACATATCCTGCTTTGGAAACAAAACAAACAGATTTAGATACAAATAAAGATGGAAAAGAAATAAAAGAATATACAATCAGTAAAAAAAACATAAATCATAACGAGGGTTACTTTCAGCCACCAAATTGAAATTATACTTACGTAAATCGCATGTTGGGTTAGGGTTTGGCCAAACTTTAATGGTCACAGATCTACACATTCTTCTTAACTTCATGTCTGGCCAAGCTTTTTTGGCCACAAATATGAGAAAATAAAAAAACAAACTCGAACATAGTTCTGTGAATATGAAGGAAAATTAAAACATATCTCAAACCTAAGTCGATTAATACAATCTAAGAAAACCATATAATGAATAATGGTTGTTAAATTTTTCACTGGTTGAAGATTAAAGAGCTTCCTTTTAACAAAAATGGTTTACTGAACATGAATTTGGACCTTTGGACGTATTTACCTGGTTAGAAGATAATCAATACCCCAAAATCATTGATTTTCAAAATCATCATTTAGGTGGATTAGGGTTTTTAGATGATGGAGAAAGTAGCATCGTCTAACACTGGCGTTGACGGAAGGAGGCAATTGGCGGATGTGAAAACGAAGAAGAAGACGATGACTTCCATATCTGTACAACCAACAAAAAAACCAAACTGATTATCAGGAAAAAAAGCAAAATCGACTGTCTGTTCTTTGCATCTATTCAACCAACAAAAAAACCCAAAATAAAAACAAACTGTGATGTATTTATTGTGATCGAAAACCAGAAAGATGTAGGGGAATTTAGAAGGCGGATCAGAAGAGGAAGGAGATGTAATTTCTTATTGAAGATCTAGAAATAATGAAAAAGAAAATTACACATACCTGAACAAATGAGCGGTGGACTTTCCACAAACAAATGGTGAGCACACCCTAAATGTAATCAAAGATTTAAAGTTTCAAAATTCTTTAAAACCCAAATCAAAAGTCATCACAAGATACCTACTCTGGTTTAAGGTTAGAGAGAATGAATAGAGTGAAGCAGGTAGTTGAAGGGGATAGATGGTTGAAGCCTTCGTTTAGGGTTTCTCTTAGACGGAGGGAGAGAGATGGAGGAATGCAGTGAAAGGATGTGGAGATGAAGGCGATGAAGTTCTAAGTGTTCAACAGAAAGACATAAGATATAGGGGAGACCGGCCAGAATCCTCGTATATTTGCAAAGATCTTGGATTCAACAGGCTTCATCCGGTCAAACACACTAGCTTTAAAAGAAATTGAATCGAATCACCTGTAATCAGTTGTTGACTCTTTGATTTTTGTTGACCAAGTAATTTCAAAGCATAAACTCATTGTATAAATCACATTAAAAGTCGTACCTTTTAAAATTAAGCATTTTAGGTTAAATACTTATTTAATAAGTATTTAACCTAAAATAAGTATTTAACCTAAAATATAAATCACATTAAAAGTTGTACCTCTTAAAATTAAGCATTTTAGGTTAAATACTTATTTAATAAGTATTTAACCTAAAATAAGTATTTAACCTAAAATGCGAGGTACAACTTTTAATGTGATTTATACAATGACTTTATGCTTTATTTATATATATATATATATATATATATATATATATATATAAGATAACAAGTTTTATTAATGTTTCTAAACTTAATTTTTTTTGTTACTAACTCACTTATTTTTCTTATCTGCATACTCCTTTTTTTAATTCTTTTTTATTTATTTAAATTTTATTTTCATTTTTATTTAAAAATTAGTGTATATTTATATACTTTTGCATCGTTCAATCAAAAAGCTTATAATATTTGGTTATTTTATTCCCTTTCTATATATATTTTGTCTAAGAACACTTTCTCAAAACAATTAATGTGGATTCGTAGGACTTTTTTTTCAGACTTTCATGAAACAATAGGTAGAGATATGTTTGTTTGTAATAGGAATAAAAACTTATATTATATAATATAAATATAACTATTATATTTATTAAAATAAAAACCTTAGATTCTTATATATCATTTACTTTCGTTTTAAGTCACATATTAAACAAATAAGTATTTTTATGTTAATGGCATTTAAATAATATAATTTATGATGATATTAATTCATCAATATTTGCAAAATATGACAATAATAAAATGAAACACATCATGAATCTTTTTTTTAATGGGGGCTTTATGATATTTAACTAAAAGTAAAAGGCGACAAAGGTGGTGAGCAAATAGTAAAAAGGATGAAGAAATAGAATCACTCATGGTTGGAACAAAGCTTTTTTGGGTTTTTCTTTTTACACACCAAGCTAGTGACACCCCATTCTAACAGGTTTTAATTGTTTTTGACTAAATTTGATTGGAGTCGTATCTGCCACTTTTTTTTTCTTTTTTTTTTTCCTATTTAGTTTTTTTCTATTTCCTATTTAGTTTAGTACATAAAACTATGCTGAATTTACAAATTCTCATAAGGATATCCGTAGTGGATAGCTCTCCACGTGTGAAGGGATGAGCTGGAGGGGCTAAGGACGCGTGAACACCGCCCCCAGCCCTAGTGGTTCGGTTGTGGCGTGACCATGGAGACGGACGAAGACACTGCATTTGATTGGTTCCCTCACATTTTCTCTCTTTATCTCTCTCTTCTTTTTGAACTTTCACTACCTAATCATCGGTGCATAGCATTTCCATAACTTGGTGAGTTGGTTGTGGAATGGTAAAATATCCAAGTGGCATCACCTTTATTCACAAACCACGCGTGACCATTGCCAATAACCAGGGATGGTTTTGACTAGGTGCCTGGTGTGGCACCGGCAACACCTAGTTCCCGTGTACGCAGTAGAAATTTAAAAAAAAATTTACCTATTGTGCCACTACGTAAGAAAAACGACAACTACATAAAAAAATTGCCACTCTATTGGATAAACCAAACCAAAAAATATACTTATACCTTAGACTTATTAATTAGTAGCCCAAAAATCCTATTAATTTTAGCCCAAAAAGAAACTAATATAGCCCAATGGCATTTGGATAATTTTATCTTTTGATCCAATTGGAAGAAGGGCTGATATGGTCGACAGGAGCAAAAACGAAAAAAAAAAGCCTCGACTCCACTGTAATTGCAATCGACATTCGGTTGCATATCGACGACTTCACTGTTTCGCTCACGAATGGACGACTTCATTTGGTGTTTGATGCTTCCATGAGTTCTGTCACACCCCAAAACTGGAACGGCGGAAACGTTCGGGGGCGGATGACGCCATGTACAGTATCATAACAATGCAAAATAGTAAAACAAAGCAACAACATCATCCATTGCATTAATAATATAGTTAATACAAGTGTGTTCTGTGTATAGTTGTAAGACACTAAAAATATGTAATCAAAATAAAGACGAGTCTTGAATACGCTCCGTCTTCTCAAAACCTGGTCATCTGTACCTGTCTACTGTCGACCTGAGAGTACAAGTTATTTTGAAAGCGTAGATCAGCATTTAAGCTGGTGAGTTCATAAGTATTTAGTGTCAAATGTTTGTATTAGTTTCTTAAAAATGTTTGTAAAGTCTTGTAAAAATGTTTGTAATGTTTGAATCCTTTCCAGAAAATCCTATATTTTCTACTTTAAATGAAATGTAGTCTACTCTCCAAGACCGACCTGTTTGTGTATTTTGTTTCTCTTAAAAATGATGTAAAGTGTATGTTTGTGCTTGAAATAGTATGAAATGTGTGTTTTCCCAAGTTTATGACTATCGTTTCTAGAAAAATAGTTTGCACTACCTTTTATGTGAGAATATCACTATATGAATGTAATGGGAAAAATGAAAGTGTACAGTAATGTTGTATAAAATAACTACTGAAGCACTAACTACCTTAAAACCAGTTTGTTAATTAAGGTTAAAATGTGATGTGGTTATAACCATACTGATTGACGAGTGTTTAACACGACGACCTGCTGGCGTCGAAACTGATGTGACATTTGTCACCCCTTGGCTTGTCTGCCGGACTGTAGCTAACTGTGGGGATGTGGGATTGTCATTCTCGTATAGATCTATACACACAATGACCGCTCTCCCTCCAGGAGACTCTGGTTACAAAACACGACATACAAGTGAAATAATGGGTTTCCACACACCAAGAGGCATGGGAGTTATCACATATATATATATATATATATATATATATATATATATATATATATATATATATATAATAAATATACACATAAGTCCCTCAAGTATGCAACAATAAAAAAAAGTCTATACAGATACATAACTAGTCTAATATCCTCCCTCAAGCGAGAGGAGGTGGACCAAGACGAAGCATGTGACGGAACTGCTCAAACTGTGGCCGGGGTAGACTCTTAGTGAAGATATCAGCGAGTTGAAGCTTGGTAGGAACAAACATAGTGACCAATTTTCCTGAAGCAACGAGCTCACGAACAAAATGATAGTCAAGATCAATATGCTTAGCACGCTTATGAGCCACCAAATTCTGGGTAAGAAATAACTCACTTTGATTGTCACAGAGAAGTGTGGGGCGATCAGTGGGCAAGGCATGCAACTCCTGCAACAGATGAGTGATCCAGATGATCTCGGCAGCCGTATTAGCCATGGCTCGATATTCAGATTCACAGCTGGAGCGAGAGATAGTAGTCTGCTTCTTCGCACTCCAGGACACAAGATTACCCCCCAGGAATATCGAGTATCCATAGGTGGAGCGGCGAGTCTCAAGGCAGCGAGCCCAGCCGGCATCAGAGTAGCCAACAAGCTTAATAGTCGGAGGCCATGAGAAAGTGAGACCAAACGAGAGGGTTCCCTTGACATAGCGAATAAGTCGTTTAACAGCTTGAAAATGAGCAATCGTTGGGGCGGCAAGAAATTGGCTAACTTGATTAACAGCGTAAGAAATATCGGGTCTCGTAATCGTCAAATATTGAAGGGCACCAACCAAGGACCGATAATGAGTCGGATCATCATAAAGAGGGCCACCACTAACAAGGGAGGCGTTGGTAGCAAGAGGAGTAGGCATAGGCTTGGCATTGAGAAGACCGGCGCGTGTGACGATGTCGTGAGCATACTTAGCTTGGCTAAGAAACAAGCCTGTGGGATGATGAGTAGCCTCAAGCCCAAGAAAATAGTTCAAACGCCCAAGATCCTTAATGCGAAACTCGGCGTGTAGTCGAGAAATGAAAGATGACACAACAACATCATCCGAGCCAGTAACAATCAAATCATCAACATACACTAACAGATACATGATACACGAGTCCCGACGAAACACAAAAAGGGAGGGATCCGCACGACTGTAGGAAAAACCATGTTGCACTAAAAACGAGTTGAGGCGATGAAACCACGCACGGGGAGCCTGCTTAAGACCATAGATAGCTTTATTGAGCTTGCAAACATAATCAGGATGACGAGCATCCGCAAAACCTGGAGGTTGATTCATAAAGACAGTGTCACCCAAATGGTCGTGGAGAAAAGCATTATTGACATCAAGTTGACGCAAATGCCATCCGTTAATAGTCGCAAGAGTGAGAACAATACGAACGGTAGCCGCCTTGACAACGGGACTGAAGGTGTGAGAATAATCAAGTCCCGGCACTTGACTGAACCCTTGAGCGACGAGACGAGCCTTGTGATGCTCTACAGTCCCATCAGCCCGATATTTAGTGCGAAACAACCACCTGCAACCCGATATTAGTCTGGGAGGTCGTGGAACAAGAGTCCATGTCTGATTATGATGAAGAGCCGCCATCTCGGAACACATTGCGTCACGCCATTTAGGATCACGCAATGCAGTGGTATGGGACGAGGGAATACCAGCAGAAAAAACCTGCGAAAAAAGCCATGAGAGGTTAAATGTGCCAAATCAGTATGGTAGCGTGGCTTAAAAATCCCGGCTTTGGCACGCGTGGTCATTGGGTGCGAAGGCGGGGGCGGACGAGGGGCCGAAGGTGAAGCAGGCCCGGAACCAGACAACGAACCAGACTCGGAGACGGTTTCAACAGCAGGATCAATGGTTGGTTCGGAGTCAAACCCGGAAGGCGACTCGAGTTCGGGACCTGGGGAAGCAACAGTAGGGGACTCATATGTAGGAGATGCAACCGAGGGAGCCAGAGAATCGGGCTTCGTACACACAGCGCAAGGAGTAGGGGTGGCGGGTCCTGATGGAGCACATGGAGAAGCCGAGGCTGCATCATCGGGGACGGGATCGGTGGGGAGCTGATCACCAAGGAATGTATGTAAGGGTAAAGACCCAATAGGAGCATTTGTGTGGGTGGCACGAAACGGGAAGCACTCTTCATCAAACCGGGCATGGCGGGTAACAAAAACCCGTGTCGAAACCGGATCGAGACACAAGTAGCCTTTATATTGAGCGTGATAACCCACAAAAACACAAGGGATGCTCCGCGGAGAAAGTTTATGATCCGCATAGTCATGCAAATACGGATAGACGCGACACCCAAAAATGCGAAAATTCTCATAAGATGGCACCCGTCCGAACAAGACCTAAAATGGAGATTTCATGGACAACACCTTTGTGGGGAGACGATTAATAACATGCACGGTGGAGCTTAAAGCATTAGCCCAATAAGAAACCAGAATGTGAGCATGAAACATCATGGCGAGTCCCGTCTCCACAATGTGACGACGTTTGCGTTCAACCCGCCCATTTTGTTGGGGGGGGTATATGGGCATGAGATGCGGTGAAATATACCATGTTTATGCAATAACGCCTTTACTTTGTTATTTAGAAATTCCTTACCCCCGTCACTTTGAAAATTTTTAATTTTGGTAGAGAATTGAGTCTCTACAAAGGCGATAAATAACTCGAAAATGCGAAAAAAAATCCGATTTAGACTTGAGCGGGTAAAGCCATGTAAAGCGAGAGAAATCGTCCACAAAGGTGACATAATATTGGTATGAAGCAACCAAATCAATCGGGGAAGGACCCCAAAGATCACAATGGATCAAATCTAAAACATGGGCGGCTCGTTGGTCATTATTGTCAAAAGGCAACCGATGAGACTTAGCAAGTTGGCAAGGAGAACAAGTAACTGGTTTAGGTAAAATAGAAGAAACAAACACATGACCAAGTTTATTTAATATAGAAATAACATCAAAAGACACATGCCCTAAACGGGAGTGCCATAATTCAAAAGACGCCTTGGGTCGCTTCTTAGCATAAAACGCACAAGCCACCGGCTTATTTGGAAGAACATAAAGCCCCTGATCACAGGTTCCTTGAGCTAGAATTTGTTTCGTTGCCCGATCCTGAATGTAAAACAAAGATTTGGAGAAAATCACATCCACGTTATTATCGTATGTTAACTTGCTAATAGATAATAAATTTTTAGTAAGACGGGGAACCACCAAAACATCCCGCAACCGAATATCATTGGGAAGAGATGAAGTCCCAATAGCAGCAATGGGAAGAGTATTACCATTACCGAAGTGAACCGAGCCATCACCAACAAAAGGTTCGGGTTTAGCAACCGAGCCGAAGAAGAAACCATGTGGTCCGAGGCACCGGAATCAACATACTAATCCGGGCCAGATGGGGTCACACGACAATTTGCAAGGAAAGCTTTTGCTAAATCGGCTTCACTAGGGGCAGACCGAGAAGCAAAGTTCGGAAGTTGTGGACAAGCATTAGCAAAATGACTATTTTGTCGGCATAGTTGGCAGTGGGGTGACCGCCGACCATGACCACGACCACCGCGAGGACCACCACGACCACCGGAGTCACCACCCCGACCCCGACCAGCAGTGGCAGAGGCAGCAGCCCCAATGGGCGCTGATTCAGCAGAGAAAGCGACAGCAGGTGTGGAGTTGGCGTGGAGGGATTTCATGAAAAGCTCATGACTTTTGGCTTGAGCAAGGAGGTCCCGAAAAGTTGGAGAGAGACGAGAGGTCCGAACCCCAATGGAGAAAACTTCAAAATCGCTGCCAAGACCACATAGGAACCAATGATTTTTATCAGATTCGGTAACAGCTTGGCTGATAGCTGCCAACTGATCACAAATCGCCTTAAATTTCCATCCATATTCGGAGACGGTGGAGGTTCCTTTAGAGAGAAGCCGTAGTTGATCACGAAGATTTTGTACATGTTCCATGGAAGAGTTCCCATAGGCGGATTCAAGAGCGGTCCATATAGCACGAGCGGAAGAGAGGCCCACGACCTCAGAAAATGCTTCTTCCGTGAGAGAGGCTTGAAGAATGATGACTGCCCGTTGATCCGCAGTATGCCATTCTACAAAAGCAGGGTTCTCAACTTGCTTGTTGTCAACCAGAAGGTGGGAAGAAGGGGCTGCAGAGGAGCCATCAACGTGAGCAAGGAGTTGTTGATAGTTAAGGAGGGGAGTCATTTGGTTCACCCACAAGAGATAATTGTTAGAAGAGAGGCGGATGGTAATGAGGTGAAGGAGAGTGTTCATGGATAGAGTAGCATCAGTGGAGGAGCCAGCCATGGATGAAGCTGTGATGATGACAAGAAAAAAAACTGAAAGATATGAGAAGAAAGGAGGAGAATGATCGGCTAAGAATAGGGAGAGGAAGGGAGGGGTTTATGGCCTGATACCATGAAATAATGGGTTTCCACACACCAAGAGGCATGGGAGTTATCACATATATATAATAAATCAAGATACACATAATTCCCTCAAGTATACAACAATAAAAAAAAGTCTATACAGATACATAACTAGTCTAATAACAAGTATATTGCTATACCGTGAAGTAGTCTGACATAAATGTTATCTTGTTCTTGTTATTGTATGTTTGAACTAACTCATGTAAGTACTGATTTATATAAGTTTCAGTGTTTTAGAAATAGGAAGTAGTAATCCTCTAAACTATACCTATTATAGTTTACTAGTAAGCTCTATAATTGAATGATTGATCATATATGTACACCTTTGCTACCCCAAAGGTATTGAACTGATTGATAGAACTTTTATATCTACATACATATACATGATATACAACTAAGATTTAAACGACATTCGGACAAACAACCGATACCCTAAGTCCACATCCAAACTAGGAAAAGGAAATAATACGAGTTGTCAGTCCTAAGTCCTTTAAAACTTATTTATATAACTATATCTATATAGACATGCTTTTGACAATATATAAGTTTAAAAGGAGTTTTGTAATACATTTGAAGAGTTTTAACTATTTGAATAGATATTGATGACTTGATGTCAGTTTATAAAGTGATTTGAAACAGTTTGTTTAGAAACACGGTTTAAAATATAAGAAATCCTTTGTTTGATAGTTATAAATCACATGTGATTGATTATATAACTATAATGTTTTCTACTTGTATTTCCCCTCGTAAAAGCATTTAAAACCACTAAAAGATAAGTTTAGGGGTATGAACTCACCTGCAGTGAGTGATTCGAATGAAAGATCGATATAGGATGCTAAGTACGCTAAGTGAAGTCCCGAGCACAAACAGATCCTAATAAGCATATAATAACACATATATGTATACAATTAGTGTACATAACAACTAATCATGTAAGGGAAACATCCTTAGGAACTAGGAAACACTTGCAATGAAGTGTTACAATCACATATGGTTGATTGAATGGAGTTCACGTGTGACATCCCCAATTTCACGGCCAGAAAAGACCGGTTTGTTTATGCTTTGTTTTAAAATCAAAGTTATCTTTTTAAAGAAAACACTTGCGGAATTTGTCTCAAAAACAAAATATGATAACCATTTATCAAAGCATTTCTTTTAAGAAATGTATTTTCATTAAATAACAAAATCTCGGGATGTCATGTTCCGATACAGACCAAAAGCATAAACAGTATAAAATAGACCTTACAACAGTTATTTATAACTACTGATCTATAATCCAAAACCTCTCGTCAAGTCCACCAACTTATACTCTTGTGCCATTACCTATAATGCAAAGAAAACTGAGTGGGTCAGGCTTGGGAGCCTGGTGAGCATATAGGGTTTTCAACCCACAATAATATAATTATTATATTCAATCATCAAACAATCAACCCAATTACCCATCCCCATTATCTTCTTTATTACTTAAGGTTTTACCCTAAGAATCGACTATCCTTCCTTCATTCGTTCCTAAGGATTGACCTAAGGAATTGACACAAAGTCCATTGCTGCCTGAGGTTCATCTACACAGTACTAAATCCATAGCTACCAAGGTTTATCTACACAGTACTAAATCCATAGCTACCAAGGTTTGTCTATACGGTACTAAATCCATAGCTACCAAGGTTTGTCTATACGGTACTAAATCCATAGCTACCAAGGTTTGTCTATACGGTACTAAATCCATAGCTACCATTGTTTGTCTATACGGTACTAAATCCATAGCTACCAAGGTTTGTCTATACGGTACTAAATCCATAACTACCAAGGTTTGTCTATACAGTACTAAATCCATAGCTACCAAGGTTCATCTATACAGTACTACATCAATAGCTACCGAGGTTTATTCTTTACAGTACTAAATCCATAGCTACCGAGGTTTATTCTTTACAGTACTAAATCCATAGCTACCGAGGTTTATTCTTTACAGTACTAAATCCATAGCTACCGAGGTTTATCTTTCGTCTCATCCTCAAACTTATCCTTCATCACACACCAACTATTTCGTCTACCCATGTTCTACCCAACATATTTGTAGATATAAAATATATATACAGTTTAACTCATTTAAAACCTATATAAAACATCCATTCCACGCTTATCTCAAATAAACCACAATATATAAACACATAACACATATTTCTTAGCAAATACTTAATATCTATGTGTTAAAAGAAAGTAACTACACACTCACACCAAACATATACTTAATACATTCAAACAATACTTGTATTAGAATTGTGTTTATGAAAGGGACTATACACTCACTTGATTAGAAGATGGTTGGACAGCACTACGGCTCTAAGAGTAGTAACTCTTCGGTGAAACTGTGATCTCTTCACACACCGGACTTCTCGCGGGAAGAGCTTCGGCTCGGAAATTCTTTTCTTCTCGGAATCTTCGGGCTTCGGGACTTGCTTCGGGTCTCCGGATGTTTATCGGGGCTTCGGGGGGGTTAAAATAGGGCTTAGAGAGTGTATCGGGAGTGGGAGAGAAGGGATGGAGCAACCATAATCGGCTGGCCCTTCAAATCTATTTATAGGGCAAAATTAGCCCTTGCCACGTCGTGGCACCTTTTCCACGTCGTGGGCTTGGTCGTCACTGCATGCGTCATCGCAAGTTACGTCTGGGGGACTCCCGGACGTGTCAGAACACTTGCCACGTCTTGGTATCTGACAATTTTGGGGTTTTGCGCCCCGAACTTCAGAAATTCATAACTTTCGCATACGAACTCCGTTTTCGACGTTCTTTATATCGACGCGAATGTGAGATTATGCTCTACAACTCTCGTTTAGACTCCGTTGGCTAATTTTTGACTTTATTTTTAATATATTATAAATATATTACTTATATATTATTTTTAGTAGGCCGGGACAGGAAAACTCCGTTCGAAATTCATAACTCCTTCATCTGAACTCCGTTTTCGTCTGTCTTTTTATCGTTGGACTACTATCGACGAGATCTTCGACTCTTGTTTAGATTGTTTCGGTTACGAATCACTCGATCTCATATTCGAGTATTCGGGCTGCATACCGCTAAGTCGAAACTTCGGAAAATCATAACTTCCTCATACGAAGTCAGATTTGGGT